GAGAGAGAGAGAGAGAGAGAGCGAGCATGAGAGAAGGAGGGCAGGGGTGGAGAATATCTTAAATCTCCAGTAGAAATGGTTTCTCCTCCCCCTGCTGGCTGATATCTGATTCTTGGGATTTTTTTTTTCCAACTCCCGTGACTATTGCCTCCCTGAACTTGACCCAGGGTAACTATATTCCGACCCTAAGTTCTTGGCCAGTAAGAGAGTTTGAGTTACATGGGGTTGTGTGTATGTGTCAGGGGTGGATTCCTTCACTTGACCCACCAGTCAGCAGCCCACACTGGACCTGTTTCCCCATCACTGACTGTTCCCATCTTCCGCCTCCTAAGAAGAGCACAACCTTCCCCATAAACACTTTCTGGAGTGATTCTCCCACTGCCCCCATACCTTATGGCCCGGATTGAAGATCGAAGTAATCCTCTTCCACCCTCCCTCCCTCCACTCAGCTTCCAGATCCCACAGTCCCCGGCTGACTTTGAAGCCTGAGCAGGACCCTGGGCCCCTCCAGAACCATAATGACCTCTCACCTTGGGAGTAAAAGGAACTTCTCATCCCGGGAAAGGAATGCTGCGGTGTCTCATCTCCCTGGTCATGACAAGTAATCCACTTGGTCTCAGTCATTACCCCTGGTGTCCTTGATCTTTACAAGAAACTCTCTTCTTCCTTCATCTCCTTCCTACCCTCCTTGATCCCACAACATTCTTCCTTGGTTTCCTTTGGGGACAGACTGTAGCAGTGACCCATTGCTTTTGTGCGTGTGTTAATTTAAGCCTCTTTAAATAATGGTTCCAAACTTGGAACCATTGGCTTTGTCCGTCTGATTTTACCTTCTTTATATCCCTGTCCTGCCAGAATCTAGCTGCAATGACCCTGGTGATCCAGGTGGAGGGAGAGGGGTACCATATTCTGTAAGATTTGCCAAAGCAAGGTAAGAGTGGGGACTAGCCTTTGTGCAGAGATCCTTTTATCTCCTTTTTTTTTAGTTGGAGTCTCACGCTGTTGCCCAGGCTGGAGTGCAATGGCATGATCTTTGCTCACTGCAACCTCCATCTCCCAGATTCAAGTGATTCTCTGGCCTTGAGTAGCTGGGATTACAGGCATGTGCCACCATGCCCAGCCAATTTTGTGCATCTTTAGTAGAGCTGGGTTTTCACCATGTTGGCCAGGCTGGTCTCAAACTCGTGACCTCGTGGTCTGCCCTCCTTGGCTTCCCAAAGTGCTGGGATTACAGGCAAGAGCCACCACGCCCATCCCTTTTATCTTTTTTTTCAGAAACCAAGGTAGATTCTCTTTTAACAGTTACTTTTTGTACTTCTACTATGTTTAAAGCTAAACCCCTGGCCAAGCATGAAAGGGGGAAAGGGGAACCACAGAGATGAATTCAATATAGTGTCTGTCTCTCAGGAGTTTATAATCTATTAAGGAATAACGAGCTATGTTCACAATTAATTAGCATGCATAGAATTAGAGAAGAACTGTAGGAAGGGCACATAAACAGCAATGAGAGAGGCAAAGAAGATATGCAGGGAGAATCAGGGGACCGTTCATGGAGGAGGCAGCCCTTGAGCTGGGAACTGAAGGGTGTATGCGATTCTGGCAGGCAGAAGGGCCCTGGATTTTTCCAGTTGGCCCGTGTGTATTGCTGCCAGGTGAACCCAGGAGGCAGAGGTTGCAGTGACTCAAGATCACACCACTACACTCCAGCCTGAGTGACAGAGCAAGACTCTGTGCTTAGTGGTCAGTCTTGGTTGATCAGGAAAGAGCCTTTGATGATCTTGGCTGTGCCTAGTTGAGCCTACTCCTCACCAGGAGCATGCATCTGACTCACCAGAGAATCTGAATGCCCCCAGGAAGAGGGAAAGCCACAGTGCTTAGAGTTGCATGTAGATTTGCACGCCTGGGCCCCAATAATTCAAAACATCTGGCTAACAAGTAAACATGTTAGCTTGAGGTCCTCTCAAGATTTTCAAAAACAACCTAAGTGGCTTACTGGCTTCCTTCTCCTGAGAATCCACTCTAAGTGGCCTGGGCTTGAGCTAAAGCTTTGGAAAGGTCTAAATCAAGCAGCCAGATGTGCCCATCCTGCTGGGTTGGCAGAATGGAGGAAGGGAATGTGTCAACCTTCCTAGTCTCAACGTCTTGACTTTTTTTTCCCTTCAGTACTGTTGCTGGGGCCACCTTAGCAGCTTAGGCAGGGGTCAGCCTTTCAAAAGAGGCCTTAGGGAGCAGGAGCTCTCAGCCACTCTCCTACTCACAGGGAGATTAAGGCAAGGAGGGCATTCAGCCCTGAGTTGCCCATATAAGATAGCAGTGATCTGCTTCATAGGTATATGTGGCAAGGCTGGGGAGATTGGCTTGGCATCCTCTTCTGAAATCGATGGACCTGGGTTAAGGAGGAACTTGTCACAAGCTCCAGATTAGATTCAAGTACTGATTCCGCCTCTAATGCCACCACAATGGAGGATCACTGACTCCTTTCCCATTTTTATAAAAATGGGAATGGTAGTACTTTCTCAAGGTTGTTGTGAAGAGCAAATAAGATAGTTTATTAGGCCGGGCGCAGTGGCTTAAGCCTGTAATCCCAGCACTTTGGGAGGCCAAGGTGGGTGGATCACGAGGTCAAGAGATCGAGACCATCCTGGTCAACATGGTGAAACCCCGTCTCTACTAAAAATACAAAAAATTAGCTGGGCATGGTGGCACATGCCTGTAGTCCCAGCTACTCAGGAGGCTGAGGCAGGAGAATTGCCTGAGCCCAAGAGGCGGAGGTTGCGGTGAGCCGAGATCGCGCCATTGCACTCCAGCCTGGGTAACATGAGTGAAACTCCGTCTCAAAAAAAAAAAAAAAAAAAAAAAAAGATAGTTTATTAAAGTTTTTATTAATAAAAAATGCTAGGTGAATGTTATATAATGTTAGTACTAAGAAAATCTCCCACAGGTGTTTCCTGTCCTTTCTCTTTTCCCAACTTCAGACATTCAAGATCGTGAGCTTGGTCTTTTTCCTTGCCTGATGTACCTTGGCCTGTTCTAGAACTTGTTTCCTCCTTCTTAACCCTCACCCTCCTTTGCCTTGGAAGTCTGAGTTGGAAGAAAAAGCCAACCAAGGAAACCAGGCTAATGCTTGTGCTTGAGGCTCTGGGCCTTTCCCCTTCCCCCAGACCTGATGCCCATGAGATGAAGCCCCATGCCATACAGGCCTCTCTCTCCATAAGGCCACCCAGTCCAGGACCCTTGCTGTGTCTCTGCCATCTGGCTGGGTGACATGTGAGGCCCAAGAAACCAAAGAATGTTGAGTTTCATCAAATGTTTTTCCAGAGGAGACAGTTTCTCTAGGTCCATCTCCATTTAATGGCCTACAGTTGGAAGACCTGAATTTGGGTGACTGGATGTGATCTTTTCTGCCTTTTAAGTAAACTTTCTCCCAACTCCAAAGGAAATACTCTCTATTCTGCCTTTCATACTACTACCAGGTCTTCCTTCCTGAACCTAAAGAAACAAGCCATCTGGCTATTCTGTCCTAGTACATAAAAACCTGACCTCTCTCCAGAATGAATGACTTTCTGTATGAAACTGGGAGTCAGCCTAACTGAAATGAAAGGGAAGATGGGTAGGAAAATGTTGCAGAAGGCTCCTTTAAGGGGGTGGATTTGACCTTGGCAATGCCAAGGGGAGGGCTGGGATCCCAGCAGGAATATTTGCCCTATAGATCCCTGAGCAGAATTTAGCATTTTAACATCAGTCTCTAAGCTGGCTGCGTGACATGAGGTTAAGTAGCAGGTAGCCCTGAGGCTTCTTCCTGGGCTGGAGACCATGCTTCTCTCTTTTGATGACTGCCTCTGGCACCTCCCTACTTTCTGGACCTGTTTTGAGGGATTACAGAAAGAGTAGCAGCTGAAAAGCCCACGTTCTTATCCTTCCAAAAGGTTCCAGCCTTCATGTTTCAATGGGAAGTCTCCCCCCACCATCTCCTAGAGTCCCCCTAATTGTCCACAAATGTCATTTCTTCTCCTTCCTTTTTCCATACTGGGAGCTGCCAGATAAGCCCTCATGGCCATCTGCATGAAGAATGAAGCACTGCAGGCTGCAGGGAACTCACTAGTCAGAATGCCCACCCTCTGTCTCCCTCTCCTCGCCCCAGAGGAGACATCTGCCTGCCTGCACACTCCTCCCCTCCCCTGCACCTGGGTACAGACTCCAGTGACTCCGGTGAGGACACTGCGTCAGGGCAGACATGGCCCAGGTGGAAGAGCAGGGAGTGGAGGAACACTGTAGAAAGACGC